AAAAAAGGGGAATGGTTGATAACTGGAGGACGTTTCATAGCTTGGCTGTTCTGAGAAGATGGGGTGGGGTGGGGTGGGGTGGGGGGGAAGAAGATTGGCGCAAGCCACAAACCGGGAAGGCCACTTGATAACAGCAGCTGATCGCCTGTGAGCAGGCTGAGTGAGTGAGCCGAAGGGAAAATGGAACCTCAGATGCAAGGTCCTGGGAACCGAAAAGGAAGAGGTGGGCAATAGTGCAGCTACGATTGTATTGAGGAAATCAAGTGAAACAGACAGCCTTATGATGAGAATGATCCAGCAGAGTTGTTCAGGTAGCAGAGACTCCGAATCCTCACGCGCCAAGAGCCGTTACCTGCGCAGACCATGACAGTTTGTCTGTGTGTGTGTATGTGTGTGTGTGTGTGTGTGTATAGTTGAATGATATGATAAGAAGGGTGTTCGCATGAAGTTTTACGAACGTCAGTAGGCACACCGTGAATTCCTGAGATAGCCTCAGGTTGTGAGTGAGCGGTCGTTGAGAAAATGACGGATCTTTAATACCAGTGCAGAAAAGAAACTGAATGTACACAATCTCGCCCTAAAAGACCTCCGTGCCACACACAGTCGAATCTCTTATTAATATCTAGGGTCACTGGACACGATCAGCCAGGATGGATCTTACCGGAGGACAAGATGCAGGAGCCATGTATCCGTAAATTTGCACTGGACCTGAGGCATTAAAACTTGTACTGTTAGTCCTCCTGAGCTCATGGTAAACTCTAAGTGACCCATTAGTTGTTTCGTAACAACATTTCCCCAGACTAGAAATAGGAATGGTGGAAGGGAGATGGGAAGACAGTTGGTCGGTTGACAGTGGTCACCATGATTGGGTACAGGGAAAACATGGGCGATTTTCCAAAAGGAAGAAGGGGCACAATAGATTCAGGAGACATACGAAACAAGAAGTCAGTTTTCTTCGATCGGATAGGAACGAAACTACCTGATTGAGTAACAACATACTAAAACACAGATGGAGAAAAATTAGAGGGAAAAGGGTCTCGCAAAGGACCAAAAGGAATCATTAGCAGACAGAAAAGAAGGCAGCTTCGCAACTTTACAGTGCGCTATTTAGTCTTCTGCCTTTCGGATGGTTATCAAGCATCTACAGCGTGTTCCTGAATGCCACTATCGTGAGATTATCTGGTTTGGAAGACGGAGGACAGTTATCGTTTGCGTCACTGGTCGAAAGCCTGTGTAAGTCAACGATCTGGGGGACTTCGACCGACCCTGGTTTGAGGAACAGAAGCGAACCAAGAATCAGACCAAGAGCGCCATACCAGAATATTATGCGTTGCACTTCATTGGGCAGAAACACAGCATTAGAAAATGCACCTGGAAAAGGGCAAGGGATCTGGAGTTGATGGAATAGTGGATCAGTGGTTTGATGAACCTAGGTTATCTAATGGTAAAATGTGTGAGTGAGCTGAGGTTTTTGCTTCCCAGTTTGCCACCAACTCCACCTTACCCAATTATTCTACTCCTCCACCTATTTCCTATTTCACTGGCAACCCCTTTCTACCTCATGTAAGCTTTGAGAAAATCCGACGAACGTTGCGCTCTCTAAACGCAAACACACCAACCGGTTCAGACGCTATTCTGCCCAGCATCCTCACAATGCTTGCTCCCTAGCTGGCTCCTTTTTTATGCTGTCTTTTCAATCTTTCCTTTCAACTTTCTTCTCCTCAACCCTTTGCCAACACACCGTAATTTTTCTCATTCCCAATTGCAGCGACCTTTCTGATTTTAACAATTACCGATCTTTTTCCCTCACATCTATTCTTTCGAAAGTATTTCAAACTATCATCACCAACCAACTGCGCACACTCCTCGAATTCGAAAGACTACTGAGCGACCGCTAGTATGGCTACCGATAGCTTCGGTCCATCGGTGACTTGATGGCCCTTGTCTCACTCCTGGTCAACTGCACTCGATAACTACGGAGTAACATACGGGGTCTCACGTGACATCTTGAAGGCTTTTGGCCGAGTTTGGTACGAAGGCGTACTGGTGAAATTACCCATGTTCGGGTTCCTTCCGGAGCTCATAGCGTGTATATCAAGTTTTCTCAGCGAGGAAATCATCTCCATCCGAGTTGATGGGGTTCTATCTCAGCCTTTCCCTGTGACTACTTGTTTTCCACTTGGTTCAGTACTTGTGCCCACTCTCTTCTTTCGATATATCAATGATCTCCTTTCCAAAGCTGTCACCCCAATTAATTATTTTGTGGATGGCTCTACCCTCCACTGCTCCATCTTCTACCGCACTACTCGCCAAGCCCAAAGCAACATCGATGGTGACCGTAGTGCAGTTAATGTGTCAATGGACTCCGATCTTGAACACATCTCCTCCTGAGGTAATGTCAAACACATTTCATTTAATGGTTCTAAAATCTTTCGATTTCTTTAAAACACCATTCATCCTCTCGCCATTTATCTTTTGATTCCACTGAACTGAATCCCACAGACTCTGTCTCCCTTCTTGGATTGTATATAACCTTTTCTTCATGCCGGTCTTTTTTTATAGCTCAGTTTGCTTCTCAGACTGCTCGCAAAATTACTTTTCTTTTCCGCTCCAGACATTTTTTTACTCCGGCTCATCTTCTACTGTAAAAAGTTCAAATCCGCCCTGCTGTTGAATACTGCAGTCACTTGTGAGGTGGGGTTTCGTCTCCTTCTCTTTCCCTTCTTGATCGTGTTCAATGAAAGGCTATCCGGCTGATCGATGATCTTTCCCTAGCATGCAGTCTGTGGTCACCAGCCCATCGTTGCTTCGTTCTCCCTGCTCTACCGTTACTACTTTGTTTTTTGTTCTTCGGAGCTTGCCTCTGCAGTTCCTCTTCCTGCAACTTTTACCCGCT